TCTCACGTCCTCTCCTGTGGGGGGGGGGGGTCATTAAATGAAAGCCTGCAGTTCTGAAGGACCTGGGCTGGGGACACTAGCTTTCCCCCCTTCCCTACCCAGCCCGTAGCAACTTTCTGCCCTGTAACTGAGCCAGCCCCTTCCCAAGTCCCTAAAAATCAAGGAGACAAACTGCCAGAATATGCACCCTCTGTCCCCATGCGCCCTTCACCTCAGTGACCCGGAAGATGTCTAGGTGTGGGATACCTGGGTTCTCTCGCGCCTTTAGACATGCCAAGGACCAGAAGTGGCTACCTAGGTCATGCCCCTACCTGTAGCTCATTCCGGGTCATCCTTTCCCCCTTTCCTCAATGAATGGGATTTCTCTTTGCCTCGTGTCCCTGTACCACCCCTAACTCACTCCTGCCCTTCTAGCAAATGTTTCCAGAGATCCAAAGAGGACCCAGACCCAGAAACCTGGGTGCTGCCTTCTTCCACAGGAGCTGACCGAGATGGAGGAGACCCAGGTTGCACTGAGTGCCTATGTTCCACAAGGCTCCAGAACCTTCTCTCCCATGGCTTATGAAGCCATGTCCCATAGGGATGGCTATTCTCACCTTTCCTGGCACTCAGGATTTGGCTGCAGATGGAATCAAGGCTGGAAGAACTTTTAGAAGCCAGCTGTAGTCGTTAACTGCAACAGAGGAGCAGGGGAAGCTGGGCCATCTCCCCACTGGGGTCTGGACCTTGGTGCTGAATGGGGAGGAATCCTGCATCTGGAGCTGAACCTTGGGACTTCGATGAGCAACTGTTCCAGGCTTTTAAGTGAATCCTGGGCCTGAAAGGGTCACATGGAAATGAAAGGCACCCAGAGTTGGTGAATACAGCTGAGGCCTTTCCTGCACACAGAGGGCACCGCCCCGTCTGGGGCAGAAGTCACAGGTTCATGGCCTGGCTTTGACCTCCCAGTCTGTGGGGCTTTCAAGGCAGCTGCTGAGCCTGGGGTCCAATCCCTCTCCTGCTCTCAGAACCACGAGGACATGGAACACGGATGTTCTTTCTCTTAGAGGCCCAGCTTGGTTCCTGGCATGCAAAAATCATTTGATGAAGAAACAGCTGCTGCTGAAGCCCCAAGGCTTCAGAACCTCTACCTGCCAGACCTGCTGGGAGGGAAAATTCGAGTCCCAGACAGCTGCTCAGGGCTGGGTGGCTGGCTGCATTGTCACAAAGACACCCTCTACTGCTCCGGATCTCTTTTAAATACACTCCACGTCAGGGTGCCTGGGTGGTTCAGCCAGTTGAGTGGCCGATTCCTGATTTCAGCTCAGGTCATGATCTCCTGGTCTGTGAGTTCGAGCCCCGAGGCGGGCTCGGCACTACATGGAGCCTGTTTGAATTCTCTCTCTCCCTCTCTCTCTCTCTGCCCCTCCCTTGCTCTCACTCTCTCTCAAAATAAATAAACATCAAAATAAAGGAAACATGGCCCACCTTGCCATAGTTGTGGTTCCTTGGGTTTTGCCAGACCTCCCGCTACCAAGGGTTTTCTTCCCACCCCAGCCACGGAGGGCACAGACCAAGAGCAGATGGAACAGGTAAGTTTTATTTGGACTTTAAACTTGTTCAGAGAGCTCAGGGGCCCCCACCTCCCCTCTCCAGGCCCCCTTCTCATTTCCCCTCCCTGGGGGAACACTCAAGGTACAATGCCATGTCTCTGGAGTCCTTGGCCCCTTCCTGCCTGATACACCTCCTCACTCCCCTGCACTGAGGAGGAGGGGAGGGGTGTGAGGAGGCGGGGGTGCCTGGAAGTGTTGGATCAGAATGGTACATGCACTGACAGTAGCGCCCACTGCCACCAGCCTGGGGCTGAGACCTGGGAGAGGCTCGCAGTGGGGGGGTTGGATTCATCGTGGGGCAGCAGGCTCTTGCCATAGGAAGCTCCCCACCTCAGCCCTGGGGACCCCCTGGCCTCCTGCTTACCCATCCTTCTGAGGGTACGACTCTGAGGTAGATTTCACAGAGGGAATGTGGGTCGCTGGGGTGTGGGAAGGGGGTTAGCTCTTTTGAAGTTGATCTCCAACAGCACCCTGGGCCCATCCACAGGTTCTGGCCTGGGAGGCAGGGATGATGACACCCACCCAGCTATCAGAGGCCGAGTCACACACGGGCTCCAGGGCACCTGTGGTGTCAGGGACTCGAGAGGGGTAAGGGTGAAGGGGAGCATCTGTCTTAACAATCTGCGTCTTGGTGCTAGGGGCTCCAGGGGGAGGCAGGGGCCTGGGAGGCTAGCACAGATACTCCCCTGGCCTGAGGGTCAAGTTGCAGGATGGCCCCCCGCCTCTCCTCCCCACCCTCAGGGCGGCCTCTTTAGGCTGAATCCCTCCAGTCCTCCAGGGTCCTCCCTCTCCTCTCCCACCCTCCTTATTCCCCAGGGGAGCAGAGGAGAACAAGACCGGCCTGCAGGGAATGGCAAGAAACAAGATGCCTCCTTCCCCCAAGGGGGAGGGGCCCATGCCAAGAGCCCCAAGCTGGCCATGGGATGGAGGAACTGGCATCAGTGTGCAAGGCAGGCTCTGGGACCCCACAGGGAGGCGCTCCCTGGACAGAGCACAGCCTGAGAAAGATGGACATCCGGGGAGTGGCTAGGGGAGCTCCTGGAGTCCTCTGATACCCTCCCCCTCCCCCAGGCCCAAGCAGCGGGCTGGCAGGCGGGCGGTGGCGACGGATCCAACCCTGTCTGAGAACAGAAAGGCAGAGAGAGAGGCTGGGTGGGGTACGCCCCTCCCCATCTCAGCCCAGATCCTCACCTCCCCAGTGGAAGCCAGGGAGCTGGGGACAGCCTCGGCTGGCCTTCCAGGAAGAGCCAGGGCTGAGTGGTGCCTGGACCAGGGAAGACGGCACACACGTTGACTCGGTAGCTAGTGGAGGTATCTGGGGGTCGCAAGGGGCAAGGGCCCCCCACGAGATTCATGCAGCATTCAAAGTGAGTGAGTGAGTGGGGGTGATGAGAGAAGATGGAGAAACAGCCAGGGGGTGGGGGAGGCACCCTAGATCTTGCTGTTCTCCAGGTGGGAGTCAATGTGTTTGATGAGGGCATCATCCGGGTACCCAACAGGGAAACCTAGCTGGCAGAGGGGGCAGCTGCGGATGTCAGAGCCCACTGTCTCCATCAGCAGCTGTGGAGAGAGAGGGGAGTCAGCTATGGTCCCCAGCCCTCCCTCACGGTCCCCACAGCCCCGCCTGCCCTTTCCCGAGACCCAGGGCAGGGAGGGCTGCAGCATGCAGAAAGGGTCTGGTCACCCTCTGTCCAGCACCACTCCTCCTTCTCCCCATTCCCTGCCCACCTCCCACCAGCTCAGCATCCACTCCCCCAACCCAGGGCCTACGGCCCCAGGCCCTGTGCGTGTGCTCAGCCTGCCAGGTCATCTACGGTAATGAGGGAGGCCAAGACCCAGACATGCCCCCAGAGTGACTAAGACACAGCTCCCAGATAACTCAAAGCAATGGATAATCCCAAACAATGTACAACCCAAAAATAATTTTCTGTCTGGCTTTAGAATATATTTTGGTCCTTCCAGGTGGCAAGGGTTGGCTCTGACATTCGGGAAACTCATTATTTCAGTGAAATGATAGAGCCCTGAGATAGGCTGTCTTCTAGGACAGCCGGAAAAGAGCAGGGGCTCTGAGACCAGATGGAGGGAACTGGATGAGCAGGCCTGGCCCTGTGTGGGCCCCAGACCTGTGGCAGTCAGCACCGCCTCCATCACCAGTCTAACAGGAGAGGGCTTCAGGCTCACTGCCTCCCTGTTAGGGACCCTCCAATGGAATTAGATCATATAATCACTGCCTTCATTTTGCAGATACGACAACTGAGGATCAGGTGGGATAAGTGACCTGTCCGAGGTCCCACAGCTGCTAAGCGGTGAAGTCCGGAATCAAAGCTGGGACTGTCACTCTGAAGCCCATGCCCTTAACCGCCGCCCTGAGAGAGAGGTAACGGTGCAGGCCCCACCTACGCAAGCAAAAGGCCCGGAGAGAGAAGTAACGGGCCTAGGCTGCCCCTGAGAGGCGAGGGGCCTCGGCCGGCCCTCAGGTGACAAGCGGGCGCCCCACTCACGTTGATGGACGGCCAGGACTGCGCGTGCTCGGCGTGGGCGTAGGCGGTGGCGGCCGGCGACTCAGGGATGGGGAAGCCCGCGCAGAACGAGGCGCAGCGGATGGTGCCCGCCTCGGGGCTGGGCGGGCTGGTGGGCACGGCCCACTCCTCCTCCTCGGAGGGCTGCTTCTCGAAGCGCAGCCGGATGCCCTCGAAGGCGCGTCGCGGGCTGAGCGGCCGGCCGGGCCCGTAGAGCTCGCCGCCGTAGGCCCGCGGTTTGGGCAGCGTGGCCGCCTCG